AAAGGCCCACTTTTGAACAGAAAACAGAACAACCCACAACTTTAACTAAACAGAAAGTGAAAAGCTTCAGTTGAAGAATTTTTCAGCAACTCGCCTTGTATACGCATTCAGAGAGGACCATGCAGCACAGGATCTCCTGCAAATCGGAAAGCGTCTCCGCCTTGACAGCGTAGCAGAGCTCCTGCAATTGCTTCTTGTGGCACTCCAGCTCCTCCTGAATCCTCTTCTGCTGCTCGCGGCGGCCGTTGGGCGGCCACGGCCACTTCACCCCCAGCCTCCACGGCGGAGGCCACGTCACCTTGAGGATTTTGGTACGCTGGTCTCGGATCCATGTCTCCACTCTCCTCTGCAATGTCTCCATTGCCCATGCAATCAATCGGCAAAACCCTAATTGAATGTTGTGGGCAGCGGAAGATGAAGATCTGGTGGGACGCTGGGTTTTGGAGTCATAACCGATGTGAAAGGGGAGAAGGCGTATGTGCTGGAATCGATCTCTGTCATATCATTTCATGATCTTGTTATTTTTGTGTAATTTTTCCCCCAAGTTTCTTTAATTTTGGAATTAAAATTATCACAAGTATAAACAGAATCCCTCCTATATATAATTCCCGAATGCCTTGAGTCTACGTGGCTGCTTCTGGTGCTTCGAAATCCTACTTGGCGAAGAATCATGCTTCGTAATTAGGTTTGGACAAATAATATTGATATATTAATAATTAATAATCTAGGTTCGGACATTCCATAAATATTATTTAGCTAACTTAGGTATTTTAATATCACTTATACGAATATAACCCTTTAATTCTTTGTAATTTTACATAATGAGACACTAAGTGACTAATATATCCCTGACTTTTGATTTGTTTCTTCAATTAGCTATTGAATTATAAATGTATTTTAAAAGTTGATAACGTTTGTATTTCTCATCGGTTTTACATATATAATATATCAAATTAATCATCTTTTTATGATCTTCGATTTGACATCCATATTGTATATATAAAATAAATAAATTATACTTATCTTTATAATAATAAAAAATAATAATATTTATTAAAATTTATTAGAAAAATAAAATTATTTCTCTGTTGATATATTTATGTTTAATGTAGTTATATGTTGTAAGTTAAAAAAATTATTATAATATAACACAAGTAAGACACACAGATAAAAAGTGTCATACTAAATATATAATAGTAATAATATATATATATATTAATAAAAGGTATTTAAATTTTCAACTATTTTTTCTCAATAATTTTAGATTTTAAGAAAAAAATTAGCAAGTACCCGTGTAATACACGGGCGTTCGTACTAGTTTTATATTATTAAAAAAAACACGTGTGCTGCACAAATGTTGTTAAAAAATTATACTTAATTTTCTTTTCTTTTGGGACAAAGAAAGAGATTAAAATACTAGGCTAAGCTCGACGGGGATATGACACCCCTATAATGTCGTGATCAATCCAAGAGCCTAGCCCTGTCGGTGGGGAAGCCAAACGATGGAGACCAATCGGATATGAGTCCACTAAGCTCGCCAAGTGATCTGCCGCAAAATTAGCCTCCATATATATGTGTTGGATATTAACACTCCAATCTCTTTGAATTAACTCTATGATAGCTCGAATCAGTGCAACATGGGGCCCCAACTCAGCCTCTGAATCGCACACCATATTCTTCACGCATAGGCTATCAACTTCAGCCATAGCTTGCCGATATCCCATCTCCCAAGCCAACAAAAGACCCTGAAACATACCCCACACCTCGGCGCCTTAAATAGCGGAGAAGCCAATTTTGAAAAGAAATCCCGCAAGCCATCGTCCATTCTCATCACGGATTAATCCCCCCGCACAGCTCAGGCCCGTGGGATTGAAGGTGGCACCGTCCGAATTGACTTTAACCCGACCCGCTGGTGGAGGAGTCCACCGAATCATCCGAGTAACATGAACAACCGCTCTCACCCATACATAATCCGCTCTTGCTCGGGAATAGCTCGTCGTGAGCCGCAAAACTTCCAACCGGCGGACCTCGACAAGGCATTCATTTCTAAACACCCGCGCGTTACGCCAAAGCCATGAGCCCCATGTACCAATGGCGAACACGCTACTCCACTCTTCGCCACAGCTCATTTGCGCCGTCGAGTACTTAAATTTAAATTTATAAGAAAACTATGTTCGAAATTTAAAATATTTTTTCTAATTACATTATTATTCATATTTAAAATGTATAATTTTACTTATCTTGTATCACAATCTTTTTCCTATGTTGTATCATATAATAACCTCAGTGGTAAATAATTTATTATTTTTAAATTAACGTTAATAGATTAGTGAACTTTTATTATAAATATTTTTATTTATTTTATAAATATAATGCGGATGTCAAATCGAAACTCATTGAAGAATCGGCAACAAATATAAAATTTACTGACTTTGCAACATATATTTATAATTTAAGTTACTTAAGTACTTTATATTTTTAAAATTATAATTTGCATGGATAAAAGCCAAACGTACAAAACACGAGAAAATGAGATATAGGTTTACCAGCACCAGAGACACATAAGATCACGAAACACAAAAAGTTGACACATAAGCTCAGGAACTATATATTCATATATAGGGAGGGATTTGATTTGTGTTGCTTTGTAATTATATGAAATGTAAATACTCATAATTTTATGTGTATGATTCGTGTTTTAGAGGGACAGGCGTGTGTATGGACTTTTATTAATCTCTATAATAATTTTTTAATTATTTAATAATTAGCTAATTTATTGTTTTCTTTAAACTTTGTAATGTTTTATATACTTGTTGTACTTAGAAAATATTTGAACATAAAGCTCACAAAAAGATGCAGCCCAAATACAAAGTCAAACCCACACCAAGGCAGGCAACCCATGAAACGTATAGACCATCTTACGAGCGGCTCAAGAGCCTAAGATGAGGTTTGTCGATTCCTCAATCGATCGAGACTTGATCTTGCCGATCACCCTTTTAATCTTCTCGAGGAAGATTGATGACCTCTCTTTGTCTGAACTCTAAACTGAAAAAATTCATAGCACCATTCAATTTGTCTCATACTCAAAAGAAGAATTTGCATGGATACACGCAATGCCCCTAGTTGACACCAAACATTTAATACTTGTTTAACATTTTGTATGTATAAGTACTGACCCCTTCGGGTTCTAAGAAAACAAGAAGAAAAAACGAGAGGAAAAAACACACACATACAACTACAAACATATAGACCTTCTTCTTCCTCGTATTGCTGTAATTCTTAGAATCACTCTCCTGTCGATTGGCAACATTAGTTTCTTTTTTTTTCGGGCATATTTATTTTCCTCAAATTGCTTATATCTCCATGAGACTCATTGCAATTAAGTATAAAATAAATACACTATACCCAATTGATAGGGATTATAATACCGACTCGGCCTAACCGGACAAAGACCCGTGAGATGGAGGACAAGAAAGCCTACTTGCCTACTCGGTCATTAGACTTTACCTACTGGTCCAATGGTCTATTGGTCCACTGGTCTACTGGTCTATTGGTCCACTGGTCTACTGGTCTAAGGGTCTACTGGTCCAATGGTCTACTGGTCTAATGGTCTATTGGTCTACCAGTCTACTGGTCTAATGTTTTAATGGCCTAAATGTATAATGGTCGAACATGGGCGAAGCACGATCGACCCTTGGTCGATATGTTCGACCCACAATAATGGTCGAACACGGGAGCGGGCCGATGGAGGGTAGACCGACTCAAGTGGTCGAGCAGGTCGAGTCCAGGGGTAGTCACTCAGTAAAGGGCGAAAGGGATTGAGTGTCGACCCATATAGCCCGACATCGACCGAATCACATTTGGTCGATAGATAGCCGGGGACTTATCGGCTTAGAGGGAGTCCGTACAACTGAGTACTATATATATGCGTTATGTGTCATAGGTACAAGGGTAAGATCTCATTTAATATCATTATTACCACATTTATTACATTGAATTCTCCCTCTAAAAATCTGAGATCCTAACTTGGGCGTCGGAGGGCTTGCGCCGGAGAAACTCCGGCGCGCTTTCAGGTACCGGAGAACACTGAAGCTCGGACCGGACCGAATCAAGCGAACCAACATCATAACCGGAGAGAACACTGAAGCTCGGACCGGACCGAATCAAGCGAACCAACATCATAACCGGGAAGAACCTTCCGCAAGTCCAAAGCCACCGATCTCGGACCATATCACCAATTAAACCGCATAATTTATATATATAATAACTGTTGACAATCAACTGTCAAACACTACTATTTGATTTTCATATATAAAATATATCACAAAAAATGAAATTCTAAAACCGGAAAACCAAGTTAGGACAAATCGAAATAAGGCTGTTCGGTTCAGTTAAGGACTTACCTCTTTGTCAAATTTTGATTAAATATTTTAAGCTAAAACACAATTTTGTTGTAAATTGGAACTCTCAAGCATCCATCAATCCAAGCATAAGATGTGCAGTAAAGAGAACGATAAAAGAGAAGCAGAAAAGTATGTCATCTTATTCATCAGTATAATC